TTGTAAGATTTTATATCTAACAAAGAAAAGCAAGGACACACAAAACAAAAATCTTAAACTTTTGTTACCAGGTGCCAAGGGGTTCCAATTGAAGGAATGCTCAAAAGATTGTTATCACAAACGACACAAAATGATAAAAAAAGATGAAAAAAATTTCATCACTGCAAGACCTTTGATGAGAAATACATAATTTAAATCTTCCCTTAGGAAAGAGTTTAATTAGAAAAAGCTGTAAAGTCAGACAGAATAATAATGAGAATAAGCATCCGGAAGTTGTCCTTTTACTTTGTTGAAATCATTTAATTCCTCTTTAGTAATGCCGTGTTTCTTTATAATGCTCAAGTAAAATTAAATTTCTGAATTCACGTTACGAGTATATCTTCCTTTTTGTGAGCATTCATCTTTGAGTTCATCTTTTCTTGGTGTTGCCTCAATCACTTCAACTTTTTCCACATTGCAATATCGAAGGTGTTTTATTTTAAACTTTGAAATTATACTATTGTTCTCATTTTATTAACGAAAAGCCTTTTCACTTTTTGCGGACTTAAATTAAAACAAAACACAATTCAATCTTCACTGTGAGAGGACGTATCTAATGCAATTGCATCAGGAAGCTGACTTTCAATTAAATTTCATTCTTGCAATGAAATAAGAAAAATAACAGAAGGATTTAAGTTGATAAGAAATATTTTCATGAGAATTGCAGTTGCACTTAAATGACCGTAGAATGCTGGTGAAGTTTTTCCTTTGGCTTGTTTTTCTTAACCTTGCGCTTAGGACAATATCAGCAATCAATTTTTTCTTTTAAATAATAGAGTTTTGATGCGGTCAAACTGATAAATAAAGGATTAGTTTCTCTTGCTTACGGTTAACAATTAAATTTTGAGTTGTAAAAATGGAGATAAAGGACCTTAATAAAAATTGAAAGATTTGAAAATTGTTACGAGTATATATTAAGTACTACTTTATTCATTTCATTCCATTTCAGTATATTCTTAATTTTTTAATAAACAATTAAAGCTTGTTGAATATTTAGATAGCCGTGGTTAATATAAAATTGGTGCACATATTCGGAGGTCACTAATTATGTGGGTGTTGGTAACGTTAAGTAATTAATAGCTATCATGTCATTCTAGCTATCATATCATTCGGAAGTTTAGCATTGGGATACTACCTTATTCAGAGTGTTTAATTTTTTTGTTATTATGCATACAATATATAGTAACCTCAGTAGTGAGTGGTTTAGCTATAATGCTTTTCTTTGCGGAAGATGTTTTTGGGACACAAAATCTGATTTTAGAAAAAAAAAAAATTTATATAACTCTGCGAATTGTGTTAAGTGAACCGATTTCACTCAGGAGAAATCCTGGAACTTGAACATATTTTTTGAAATCTATTTTTTTACAATCTGTTAAGTATCAATAAAAATAAGTAATATTTATTACGATCTAAAAAAATAAACCCGCATACGGACTATGCTCAGTGACATATCCATATATACTTAAAATAGAAATGTGTGACCTATAATACATACACATATCTAAGAAGTCTCTCGAAGTTTTCCTTCTCCGTCTAGTAAAAGCGTTGGAGGGGGGCATCAGATATGCAAACAGCGGGTTTGGTTGCATATACCTTCTGCTCAAAAAGTATCCGGATTTTGTTGTTTGTCACTACTCCTTAAGTAATAGACCTTTTTCCAAAATTTTTTGTCATGTTGGTACACCCTTTCTTGACATATGGTACAAATTTGAGCGCCATTTGTCAATTAGTTTGTTTACAGCAGCTGTTAATGTGAGACTACCTCAAGTGCATTTAGCAATTTTTATTATAAAAAATTCTTGTTGTACGCGATTTTTTGACCAAACACGGCATATTCGCCAGATCATGGTAAGCGTTTTGAGTCGATTGTATCGGTAAAAGAGAATTCGTCGAAGGAATTAAAAGCCATACCTGCGCGGGCCTACGAAAAGTGTATAGAAGATTGGGTTAAGCGTTGGCATATGTGTATCGCTTCAGAAGAAGCATATTTTGAAAGAGATAAAATAAATTTGGAATAAAATTTAAATTTGTGTGTTATATTTACAAAATCCGGGTACTTTTTGAGCAGATGGTATATGCGATGAGTGCAATTCTTTATAATATGAGATATTTCTTCCTTGATTGTCGGAACACGTAGTTGTTTATGCAGCTGTTCATTCGTTATATACCAAGGTGTATTTGTGATCATGAGTAGTGTATCAAATTGGAATCGCTGGATAATTATCAGGTTTAAGTCTGCTGCAGTAGTTCATAATTGGGCTCCATATAGGTTTTAGTACAGTTTTGTATATAAGCAGCTATTATCGAGTGACAGTCTCAAATTTCGATTGACGAACTAAAATAAGTTTCGCAATTTGAGACTTTACGCTTTTTGAATATATCTGTGCTCCTAGTTAGTTTACTGTCCAGATGTATACCCAAGTATTTTGTTTCTACAGCATGTGATAATTGGGCATTGCAGAATGTTTTGTAGTAAATGTTACCTGGACAGATTTTGTTTCAGTTAGTTTGATACACCAATTTTTCATGAAGAGAGCAACATTGTAAAGATAGGTTTGTAGTTTAGTCCAAGCAGAGATTAGAGCAGGGATCATATATAAAATATGGAGCATTGGTCCCATTATGCTACCTTGAAGTACTCCTGCTACAATGTCATGAAGTTCTGTTGATTCATTACCATGTAGACTCATTAATGAAAAAGTGCCTTGCCGAGATATATGATTTAATATATATGAAAAAATTTAGGGGCAGGGGTTTATATTGATTAGTTATCACATGATTAGCTCTTATATCATTTTTGAAATTTTAGCGTTTCAAAGTGGTTCCTTATCATCATATATATAAAGCAAGGGTTCCTAAATATTTTTCAGCTTATTTCTTTCTACTTCCAGAAACAATTTATCGTGTAATATGAGTCGCCGTGGCTTTTTCAATTTTCATGTTTTTGAAAAAGTTTGGTCTGATACAGTAGTTCCTGAATAAAACCTAAATTTAAATTATTTTAAGAATAACAATAGCCATTGGATTTTCCTCGCACCAAATGTGACAATTTTACATATTATTAAAACTACTGAAGAAAAATTGTTAAGTAAAATTCTATAGTGAAGAAGTAAAGCAAGTGCCAATCAAATCTATATAGTCCGTTCGACAGTTAAAACGCATTTTTACGCGGTCCGTTGCCCTATAATTTAAACAAACCTGTAAAAATTTTTTGTCAATACCGTGGCATTCAGATATAATAGTTTAAAGAAAAATTATCAGTTGGGAGTGTTCAAATGCACATCCTTGAGGAATTGTTTTTAAGAAAACTGTAACTAAATATCTTTTCACATCACAGATGTAAACAATTATATAAGAAAGTAAAATATATTTTTTATATTTTTATATGCAATACATATTTTTTTTTATATATTTCTCATATATTTCAATTTTCATATTTATTAATATTAATTCAACATTGATTTATTCACCTATTTATTTATTTATATATATTTTAGCCATAATTATCAAACAAATTAATTTTTATTTTCCATTATTGTGCCAATACAGCAATTCATCTGGCGGCCTTCTCTCACATTTGAATTAAAATTAAATTGTTTACTTGCACGCGGTAGCGATTAGCAGCTGTTTTTGATTTCACCACGAAAGAAATACACCAAGTAGTTTTCTACCATGAACTTTAAATGATAAAAGTTTTCTTGAAATACTTTTTTGGTAGAATAGCAAAAATCTTATAAACGACATTAGAGTCGATCACACAAAGATCTTAATTCTTAATACAGAATCTACATTTATATGATTATTTTATTAAACAAACAAATATAACCAATTTTGTAAAAATAATCTTCAATTAATTGATTTAAATTTTTGTATAATAATTTATATATAAATATATATTTATCATACATTATTGGTCACAATATATATATTTTGTTTACGTAATGTAATATTATTAATCAATATTGAAACATATGATTAGAAAGAAGTAACAAATTATTATACTACGACTCCAAAAGAGAGTAATTTCAAGATATTGCGGTAAGATCCCATATATTCGATACGTGATCTAAAATTTTATAAGTAATAAAATTAAGTTAGCAATTTCTCTTCGTTAAGTTCGAAGTGGGCAGAATTTCTGCTTTTTCAAAAAGTATTCTTTGAAAATACCCAATTCAATATTACTTTATTTCGAATGGAATACAAACTAACCGAAAAATCTGAATAATGGACTCCAATAATTTCAAATTAGACAATAAATAATATGTATTTGGCGCGTATCACACATCAGATTTAGTCGGACAACTTGACTGACGTCGCTTGCTATTACACATTAATACATTCGACATTTTTTTAAATACGCCTATAGCATAAATATGATATATTTTTATATATTACATTTAATTTAATATTTTAAATCTACTTAAAGACGTGTTTTAATAATTAAAAAATTTTCCCTATAAAGACTATAGAAACAATCTTTAAAATAAAAGATTCATTGTTATTTTGTTAGCCCAATATAAATAATTTTACATCTTCTTAATGATTTTTAAACTTATGGTTTTAACAAAGAAAATGATAACTACAATATATATTATTATATTATATATAAAATTCGACGTAATTCATTCATAAGTGCATAGGAATGTTCCCTTTGGCGTTTTTTAATTATATCGTCTGCTAACGATATTGCGATAAGTCGACAAAAATCGGATTATGTACGAAAAAACATGAGTAATTTTGATAAGAAATGAAAATATCTTAATTTCCATCCAACTTGTGGTCAACACTGCAAATATTGCTTATATATTTTGTCGACACATAAGGTTTGGCACAATTTCGCATTTCAACAGACAAGTTGTACGACCAAATCTGATGTGATACGCGCTTGAAGTTTCTTCATTCTATAATAACAACTCTGTTTAAGTTCCGTTATTATAAAATCAAGTGTCAAAAGTGAAGCACGTTCGCAGTTTTTACCGCTCGTTTTTCAGAAAGCAACTATTTGGGTTAGAGCGCAAAACTAAGAACAAAAAGTTAATATTTCTCAAAAAATAACGATCGAAAGTTATTAAAAGGTAACGCTACTGTGGAAGTGAACGCATCTATATATGTCCACTGATAATAATAGAACCGTTTTGACTTCATGTGTTAAATGCGGTGAAAATGCCAATTATGTGTGTGAGAATTGCCATGATTTTTATTGCTCTAAGGTGTGCCAGAGGCAAGATTGGGACAGCCATCGCGATATATGTGAGAGAATTCCGTAAGTATGTAAAACTTTTAACTAAATAAGTGTATAATATGCAGAATATTTATAGTAATCTAGTGCCAAATGTAGAAAATAAAAAGTTACAAAAAAGTTCAAATGATGAACAGGGTGAAAAATTAGTAGCTAATTATTTTGAACTTAAACAAATCAGGGTGAATAAAGATGATACCAAAGCACAACAAAACAGTGATCACCAAGCATCTGATAACTATTCTGATTTAGGATCCTTTAGCAATTTTCAACAACGTGTACATGAGAACCCAAAACCTGTCGACAGTAACACTAAGTATTGTCAGAGTCAACAATATTATACTAACAATAATGTACCACAACGTCCTAGTCATTCCACTAATACAGTTCCACAATACACATGTGGAGATACGCAGAAAGGATTAATCGTTGGTAGCCATTCTCAGCAGCATAATTCTGAGAGTGCAATAATGAAAAATCAGTACCATGGTATGGGAAGCATAAGAAATAATGACTCTGGCGAACCAAAGTTTAATGATGGTGGACAAAATCAACTGAATTGTAATATGATGCGATATAGTGAAAGTGATAATGAAGGACAAAAAAGTCAACGTCAACATACAAGTACGAGTGTGCAAGAATATCTTCAATCAATGCGTGGCTATGATAGTAATCAACAACCAAATTACGGAAGTCAAGTAGATAAATGCGATGATCAGCAGCACCGTAATTCCGTTGGGCAACAACAACAGCCTAACCACGGCAGCCTACAAGTTCAAAATAAAATAGTGGTTGATCAGAATTCAAATTTTGATTCTCCAGAAACTACTAATGATTGCCGCAGTGTCAATGAAGACCACCAACGTCAGAATCAATCGACAAATGGTATTAACAATCGTAGTCGAATTAATCAATTTAGTGACGTTCAAAAAAGATTAATGGTTTGTAGTCATTCTCAGCAGCATAATTCTGAGAGTGCAATAATGAAAAATCAGTACCATGGTATGGGAAGCTTACGAAATAATGACTCTGGCGAACCAAAGTTTAATAAGGGTGACCAAAATCAACTGAATTGCGGTGGGACACGAGATCGTGAAACTGATAATAAAGGACAAGAAAGTCAACGTCAACATAAAGATATGGGTGTACAAGAATCTCTTCAATCAAGACGTGGCTATGATAGTAATCAACAACAAAGTTACGGAAGTGAACTATACAAATGCGATGATCAGCAGCACCGTAATTCCGTTGGGCAACAAATACAGCCTAACCACAGCAGCCTACAAGATCAAAATAAAGTAGTGGTTGATCAGAATTTAAATTTTGATTCTCCAGAAACTAACAATGATTGCCGTAGTATTAAAAAAGACCACCAACGTCAGAATCAATCGACAAATGGTATGAACAATCGTAATCGAATTAATCAATTTAGTGACGTTCAAAACGGATTAATGGTTTGTAGTCATTCTCAGCAGCATAATTCTGAGAGAGCAACAATGAAAAATCAGTACCATGGTATGGGAAGTTTAAGAAATAATGACTCTGGCGAACCAAAGTTTAATAAGGGTGACCAAAATCAACTGAATTGCGGTGGGACACGAGATCGTGAAACTGATAATAAAGGACAAGAAAGTCAACGTCAACATAAAGGTATGGGTGTACAAGAATCTCTTCAATCAAGACATGGCTATGATACAAATCAACAACAAAGTTACGGAAGTCAAGTAGACAAATGCGATGATCACCAGCTCCGTAATTCCGTTGGGCAACAAATACAGCCTAACCACAGCAGCCTACAAGATCAAAATAAAGTAGTGGTTGATCAGAATTTAAATTTTGATTCTCCAGAAACTAACAATGATTGCCGTAGTATTAAAAAAGACCACCAACCTCAGAATCAATCGACAAATGGTATGAACAATCGTAATCGAATTAATCAATTTAGTGACGTTCAAAAAAGATTAATGGTTTATAGTCATTCTCAGCAGCATAATTCTGAGAGTGCAATAATGAAAAATCAGTACCATGGTATGGGAAGCTTAAGAAATAATGACTCTGGCGAACCAAAGTTTAATAAGGGTGACCAAAATCAGATGAATTGCGGTGGGACACGATATCGTGAAAATGATAATAAAGGACAAGAAATTCAACGTCAACATAAAGGTATGGGTGTACAAGAATATCTTCAATCAAGACGTGGCTATGGTAGTAACCAACAACAAAATTACGGAAGTCAACTAGATAAATGCGATGATCAGCAGTACTGTAATTCCGTTGGGCAACAACAACAGCCTAACCACAGCAGCCTACAAGATCAAAATAAAATAGTGGTTGATCAGAATTTGAATCTTGATTCTTCAGAAACTAATAATGATTGCCGTAGTATTAAAAAAGACCATCAACGTCAGAATCAATCGACAAATGGTATGAACAATCGCAATCGAATTAATCAATTTAGTGACGTTCAAAACGGATTAATGGTTTCTAGTCATTCTCAGCAGTATAATTCTGAGAGTGCAACAATGAAAAATCAGTACCATGGTATGGGAAGCTTAAGAAATAATGACTCTGGCGAACCAAAGTTTAATAAGGCTGACCAAAATCAACTGAATTGTGATGGGATACGATATCGTGAAAATGATAATGAAGGACAAAAAAGTCAACGTCAACATACAAGTACGAGTGTGCAAGAATATCTTCAATCGAGGCGTGGCTATGATAGTAATCAACAACAAAATTACGGAAGTCAAATAGACAAATGCGATGATCAGCAGCTCCGTAATTCCGTTGGTCAACAAATACAGCCTAACCACAGCAGCCTACAAGATCAAATTAAAATAGTGGCTGACCAGAATCAACAACAAAGTTACGAAAGTCAACTAGATAAATGCGATGATCAGCAGTACTGTAATTCCGTTGGTCAACAACAACAGCCTAACCACAGCAGCCTACAAGATCAAAATAAAGTAGTGGTTGATCAGAATTTGAATCTTGATTCTTCAGAAACTAATAATGATTGCCGTAGTATTAAAAAAGACCACCAACGTCAGAATCAATCGACAAATGGTATTAACAATCGCAATCGAATTAATCAATTTAGTGACGTTCAAAACGGATTAATGGTTTGTAGTCACTCTCAGCAGCATAATTCTGAGAGTGCAATAATGAAAAATCAGTACCATGGTATGGAAAGCTTACGAAATAATGACTCTGGCGAACCAAAGTTTAATAAGGGTGACCAAAATCAACCGAATTGCGGTGGGACACGAGATCGTGAAAATGATAATAAAGGACAAGAAAGTCAACGTCAACATAAAGGTATGGGTGTACAAGAATCTCTTCAATCAAGACATGGCTATGATAGTAATCAACAACAAAGTTACGGAAGTCAAGTAGACAAATGCGATGATCAGCAGCACCGTAATTCCGTTGGGCAACAAAAACAGCCTAACCACAGCAGCCTACAAGATCAAATTAAAATAGTGGCTGACCAGAATCAACAACAAAGCTACGGAAGTCAGCTTGATAAATGCGACGATCAGCAGCACCGTAATTCCGTTGGGCAACAACAACAGCCTAACCGCAGCAGCCAACAAGATCAAAATAAAATAGTGGTTAATCAGAATTTAAATTTTGATTCTCCAGAAACTAACAATGATTGCCGTAGTATTAAAAAAGACCACCAACCTCAGAATCAATCGACAAATGGTATGAACAATCGCAAACGAATTAATCAATTTAGTGACGTTCAAAAAAGATTAATGGTTTATAGTCATTCTCAGCAGCATAATTCTGAGAGTGCAACAATGAAAAATCAGTACCATGGTATGGGAAGCTTAAGAAATAATGACTCTGGCGAACCAAAGTTTAATAAGGCTGACCAAAATCAACTGAATTGTGATGGGATACGATATCGTGAAAATGATAATGAAGGACAAAAAAGTCAACGTCAACATACAAGTACGAGTGTGCAAGAATATCTTCAATCAAGGCGTGGCTATGATAGTAATCAACAACAAAATTACGGAAGTCAAATAGACAAATGCGATGATCACCAGCACCGTAATTCCGTTGGGCAACAAAAACAGCCTAACCACAGCAGCCTACAAGATCAAATTAAAATAGTGGCTGACCAGAATCAACAACAAAGCTACGGAAGTCAGCTTGATAAATGCGACGATCAGCAGCACCGTAATTCCGTTGGGCAACAACAACAGCCTAACCGCAGCAGCCAACAAGATCAAAATAAAGTAGTGGTTAATCAGAATTTAAATTTTGATTCTCCAGAAACTAACAATGATTGCCGTAGTATTAAAAAAGACCACCAACGTCAGAATCAATCGACAAATGGTATGAACAATCGTAATCGAATTAATCAATTTAGTGACGTTCAAAAAAGATTAATGGTTTATAGTCATTCTCAGCAGCATAATTCTGAGAGTGCAACAATGAAAAATCAGTACCATGGTATGGGAAGCTTAAGAAATAATGACTCTGGCGAACCAAAGTTTAATAAGGCTGACCAAAATCAACTGAATTGTGATGGGATACGATATCGTGAAAATGATAATGAAGGACAAAAAAGTCAACGTCAACATACAAGTACGAGTGTGCAAGAATATCTTCAATCAAGGCGTGGCTATGATAGTAATCAACAACAAAATTACGGAAGTCAAATAGACAAATGCGATGATCACCAGCACCGTAATTCCGTTGGGCAACAACAACAGCCTAACCACAGCAGCCTACAAGATCAAATTAAAATAGTGGCTGACCAGAATCAACAACAAAGCTACGGAAGTCAGCTTGATAAATGCGACGATCAGCAGCACCGTAATTCCGTTGGGCAACAACAACAGCCTAACCGCAGCAGCCAACAAGATCAAAATAAAGTAGTGGTTAATCAGAATTTAAATTTTGATTCTCCAGAAACTAACAATGATTGCCGTAGTATTAAAAAAGACCACCAACCTCAGAATCAATCGACAAATGGTATTAACAATCGTAATCGAATTAATCAATTTAGTGACGTTCAAAAAAGATTAATGGTTTATAGTCATTCTCAGCAGCATAATTCTGAGAGTGCAATAATGAAAAATCAGTACCATGGTATGGGAAGCTTAAGAAATAATGACTCTGGCGAACCAAAGTTTAATAAGGGTGGCCAAAATGAGCTGAATTGTAATAGGACACAATATCGTGAAAATGATAATGAAGGACAAAAAAGTCAACGTCAACATAAAAGTATGAGTGTGCAAGAATATCTTCAATCAAGACGTGGCTATGGTAGTAACCAACAACAAAGTTACGGAAGTCAAGTAGACAAATGCGATGATCACCAGCTCCGTAATTCCGTTGGGCAACAAATACAGCCTAACCACAGCAGCCTACAAGATCAAAATAAAATAGTGGTTGATCAGAATTTAAATTTTGATTCTCCAGAAACTAACAATGATTGCCGTAGTATTAAAAAAGACCACCAACCTCAGAATCAATCGACAAATGGTATGAACAATCGCAAACGAATTAATCAATTTAGTGACGTTCAAAAAAGATTAATGGTTTATAGTCATTCTCAGCAGCATAATTCTGAGAGTGCAACAATGAAAAATCAGTACCATGGTATGGGAAGCTTAAGAAATAATGACTCTGGCGAACCAAAGTTTAATAAGGCTGACCAAAATCAACTGAATTGTGATGGGATACGATATCGTGAAAATGATAATGAAGGACAAAAAAGTCAACGTCAACATACAAGTACGAGTGTGCAAGAATATCTTCAATCAAGGCGTGGCTATGATAGTAATCAACAACAAAATTACGGAAGTCAAATAGACAAATGCGATGATCAGCAGCTCCGTAATTCCGTTGGTCAACAAATACAGCCTAACCACAGCAGCCTACAAGATCAAATTAAAATAGTGGCTGACCAGAATCAACAACAAAGCTACGGAAGTCAGCTTGATAAATGCGACGATCAGCAGCACCGTAATTCCGTTGGGCAACAACAACAGCCTAACCGCAGCAGCCAACAAGATCAAAATAAAGTAGTGGTTAATCAGAATTTAAATTTTGATTCTTCAGAAACTAACAATGATTGCCGTAGTATTAAAAAAGACCACCAACCTCAGAATCAATCGACAAATGGTATTAACAATCGCAATCGAATTAATCAATTTAGTGACGTTCAAAACGGATTAATGGTTTGTAGTCATTCTCAGCAGCATAATTCTGAGAGTGCAACACTGAAAAATCAGTACCATGGTATGGGAAGCTTAAGAAATAATGACTCTGGCGAACCAAAGTTTAATAAGGGTGACCAAAATCAACTGAATTGCGGTGGGACACGAGATCGTGAAAATGATAATAAAGGACAAAAAAGTCAACGTCAACATAAAGGTATGGGTGTACAAGAATCTCTTCAATCAAGACATGGCTATGATAGCAATCAACAACAAAATTACGGAAGTCAAGTAGACAAATGCGATGATCACCAGCTCCGTAATTCCGTTGGGCAACAAATACAGCCTAACCACAGCAGCTTACAAGATCAAAATAAAGTAGTGGTTGATCAGAATTTAAATTTTGATTCTCCAGAAACTAACAATGATTGCCGTAGTATTAAAAAAGACCACCAACCTCAGAATCAATCGACAAATGGTATGAACAATCGTAATCGAATTAATCAATTTAGTGACGTTCAAAAAAGATTAATGGTTTATAGTCATTCTCAGCAGCATAATTCTGAGAGTGCAACAATGAAAAATCAGTACCATGGTATGGGAAGCTTAAGAAATAATGACTCTGGCGAACCAAAGTTTAATAAGGCTGACCAAAATCAACTGAATTGTGATGGGATACGATATCGTGAAAATGATAATGAAGGACAAAAAAGTCAACGTCAACATACAAGTACGAGTGTGCAAGAATATCTTCAATCGAGGCGTGGCTATGATAGTAATCAACAACAAAATTACGGAAGTCAAATAGACAAATGCGATGATCAGCAGCTCCGTAATTCCGTTGGTCAACAAATACAGCCTAACCACAGCAGCCTACAAGATCAAATTAAAATAGTGGCTGACCAGAATCAACAACAAAGTTACGAAAGTCAACTAGATAAATGCGATGATCAGCAGTACTGTAATTCCGTTGGTCAACAACAACAGCCTAACCACAGCAGCCTACAAGATCAAAATAAAGTAGTGGTTGATCAGAATTTGAATCTTGATTCTTCAGAAACTAATAATGATTGCCGTAGTATTAAAAAAGACCACCAACGTCAGAATCAATCGACAAATGGTATTAACAATCGCAATCGAATTAATCAATTTAGTGACGTTCAAAACGGATTAATGGTTTGTAGTCATTCTCAGCAGCATAATTCTGAGAGTGCAATAATGAAAAATCAGTACCATGGTATGGAAAGCTTACGAAATAATGACTCTGGCGAACCAAAGTTTAATAAGGGTGACCAAAATCAACTGAATTGCGGTGAGACACGAGATCGTGAAAATGATAATAAAGGACAAGAAAGTCAACGTCAACATAAAGGTATGGGTGTACAAGAATCTCTTCAATCAAGACATGGCTATGATAGTAATCAACAACAAAGTTACGGAAGTCAAGTAGACAAATGCGATGATCAGCAGCACCGTAATTCCGTTGGGCAACAACAACAGCCTAACCACAGCAGCCTACAATATCAAATTAAAATAGTGGCTGACCAGAATCAACAACAAAGCTACGGAAGTCAGCTTGATAAATGCGACGATCAGCAGCACCGTAATTCCGTTGGGCAACAACAACAGCCTAACCGCAGCAGCCAACAAGATCAAAATAAAATAGTGGTTGATCAGAATTTAAATTTTGATTCTCCAGAAACTAACAATGATTGCCGTAGTATTAAAAAAGACCACCAACCTCAGAATCAATCGACAAATGGTATGAACAATCGTAATCGAATTAATCAATTTAGTGACGTTCAAAAAAGATTAATGGTTTATAGTCATTCTCAGCAGCATAATTCTGAGAGTGCAATAATGAAAAATCAGTACCATGGTATGGGAAGCTTAAGAAATAATGACTCTGGCGAACCAAAGTTTAATAAGGCTGACCAAAATCAACTGAATTGTGATGGGATACGATATCGTGAAAATGATAATGAAGGACAAAAAAGTCAACGTCAACATACAAGTACGAGTGTGCAAGAATATCTTCAATCAAGGCGTGGCTATGATAGTAATCAACAACAAAATTACGGAAGTCAAATAGACAAATGCGATGATCACCAGCACCGTAATTCCGTTGGGCAACAACAACAGCCTAACCACAGCAGCCTACAAGATCAAATTAAAATAGTGGCTAACCAGAATTTAAATTTTGATTCTCCAGAAACTAACAATGATTGCCGTAGTATTAAAAAAGACCACCAACCTCAGAATCAATCGACAAATGGTATGAACAATCGTAATCGAATTAATCAATTTAGTGACGTTCAAAAAAGATTAATGGTTTATAGTCATTCTCAGCAGCATAATTCTGAGAGTGCAATAATGAAAAATCAGTACCATGGTATGGGAAGCTTAAGAAATAATGACTCTGGCGAACCAAAGTTTAATAAGGGTGACCAAAATCAGATGAATTGCGGTGGGACACGATATCGTGAAAATGATAATAAAGGACAAGAAATTCAACGTCAACATAAAGGTATGGGTGTACAAGAATATCTTCAATCAAGACGTGGCTATGGTAGTAACCAACAACAAAATTACGGAAGTCAACTAGATAAATGCGATGATCAGCAGTACTGTAATTCCGTTGGGCAACAACAACAGCCTAACCACAGCAGCCTACAAGATCAAAATAAAATAGTGGTTGATCAGAATTTGAATCTTGATTCTTCAGAAACTAATAATGATTGCCGTAGTATTAAAAAAGACCATCAACGTCAGAATCAATCGACAAATGGTATGAACAATCGCAATCGAATTAATCAATTTAGTGACGTTCAAAACGGATTAATGGTTTCTAGTCATTCTCAGCAGTATAATTCTGAGAGTGCAACAATGAAAAATCAGTACCATGGTATGGGAAGCTTAAGAAATAATGACTCTGGCGAACCAAAGTTTAATAAGGCTGACCAAAATCAACTGAATTGTGATGGGATACGATATCGTGAAAATGATAATGAAGGACAAAAAAGTCAACGTCAACATACAAGTACGAGTGTGCAAGAATATCTTCAATCGAGGCGTGGCTATGATAGTAATCAACAACAAAATTACGGAAGTCAAATAGACAAATGCGATGATCAGCAGCTCCGTAATTCCGTTGGTCAACAAATACAGCCTAACCACAGCAGCCTACAAGATCAAATTAAAATAGTGGCTGACCAGAATCAACAACAAAGTTACGAAAGTCAACTAGATAAATGCGATGATCAGCAGTACTGTAATTCCGTTGGTCAACAACAACAGCCTAACCACAGCAGCCTACAAGATCAAAATAAAGTAGTGGTTGATCAGAATTTGAATCTTGATTCTTCAGAAACTAATAATGATTGCCGTAGTATTAAAAAAGACCACCAACGTCAGAATCAATCGACAAATGGTATTAACAATCGCAATCGAATTAATCAATTTAGTGACGTTCAAAACGGATTAATGGTTTGTAGTCATTCTCAGCAGCATAATTCTGAGAGTGCAATAATGAAAAATCAGTACCATGGTATGGAAAGCTTACGAAATAATGACTCTGGCGAACCAAAGTTTAATAAGGGTGACCAAAATCAACTGAATTGCGGTGAGACACGAGATCGTGAAAATGATAATAAAGGACAAGAAAGTCAACGTCAACATAAAGGTATGGGTGTACAAGAATCTCTTCAATCAAGACATGGCTATGATAGTAATCAACAACAAAGTTACGGAAGTCAAGTAGACAAATGCGATGATCAGCAGCACCGTAATTCCGTTGGGCAACAACAACAGCCTAACCACAGCAGCCTACAATATCAAATTAAAATAGTGGCTGACCAGAATCAACAACAAAGCTACGGAAGTCAGCTTGATAAATGCGACGATCAGCAGCACCGTAATTCCGTTGGGCAACAACAACAGCCTAACCGCAGCAGCCAACAAGATCAAAATAAAGTAGTGGTTAATCAGAATTTAAATTTTGATTCTCCAGAAACTAACAATGATTGCCGTAGTATTAAAAAAGACCACCAACGTCAGAATCAATCGACAAATGGTATGAACAATCGTAATCGAATTAATCAATTTAGTGACGTTCAAAAAAGATTAATGGTTTATAGTCATTCTCAGCAGCATAATTCTGAGAGTGCAACAATGAAAAATCAGTACCATGGTATGGGAAGCTTAAGAAATAATGACTCTGGCGAACCAAAGTTTAATAAGGCTGACCAAAATCAACTGAATTGTGATGGGATACGATATCGTGAAAATGATAATGAAGGACAAAAAAGTCAACGTCAACATACAAGTACGAGTGTGCAAGAATATCTTCAATCAAGGCGTGGCTATGATAGTAATCAACAACAAAATTACGGAAGTCAAATAGACAAATGCGATGATCACCAGCACCGTAATTCCGTTGGGCAACAACAACAGCCTAACCACAGCAGCCTACAAGATCAAATTAAAATAGTGGCTGACCAGAATCAACAACAAAGCTACGGAAGTCAGCTTGATAAATGCGACGATCAGCAGCACCGTAATTCCGTTGGGCAACAACAACAGCCTAACCGCAGCAGCCAACAAGATCAAAATAAAGTAGTGGTTAATCAGAATTTAAATTTTGATTCTCCAGAAACTAACAATGATTGCCGTAGTATTAAAAAAGACCACCAACCTCAGAATCAATCGACAAATGGTATTAACAATCGTAATCGAATTAATCAATTTAGTGACGTTCAAAAAAGATTAATGGTTTATAGTCATTCTCAGCAGCATAATTCTGAGAGTGCAATAATGAAAAATCAGTACCATGGTATGGGAAGCTTAAGAAATAATGACTCTGGCGAACCAAAGTTTAATAAGGGTGGCCAAAATGAGCTGAATTGTAATAGGACACAATATCGTGAAAATGATAATGAAGGACAAAAAAGTCAACGTCAACATAAAAGTATGAGTGTGCAAGAATATCTTCAATCAAGACGTGGCTATGGTAGTAACCAACAACAAAGTTACGGAAGTCAAGTAGACAAATGCGATGATCACCAGCTCCGTAATTCCGTTGGGCAACAAATACAGCCTAACCACAGCAGCCTACAAGATCAAAATAAAATAGTGGTTGATCAGAATTTAAATTTTGATTCTCCAGAAACTAACAATGATTGCCGTAGTATTAAAAAAGACCACCAACCTCAGAATCAATCGACAAATGGTATGAACAATCGTAATCGAATTAATCAATTTAGTGACGTTCAAAAAAGATTAATGGTTTATAGTCATTCTCAGCAGCATAATTCTGAGAGTGCAACAATGAAAAATCAGTACCATGGTATGGGAAGCTTAAGAAATAATGACTCTGGCGAACCAAAGTTTAATAAGGCTGACCAAAATCAACTGAATTGTGATGGGATACGATATCGTGAAAATGATAATGAAGGACAAAAAAGTCAACGTCAACATACAAGTACGAGTGTGCAAGAATATCTTCAATCAAGGCGTGGCTATGATAGTAATCAACAACAAAATTACGGAAGTCAAATAGACAAATGCGATGATCACCAGCACCGTAATTCCGTTGGGCAACAACAACAGCCTAACCACAGCAGCCTACAAGATCAAATTAAAATAGTGGCTGACCAGAATCAACAACAAAGCTACGGAAGTCAGCTTGATAAATGCGACGATCAGCAGCACCGTAATTCCGTTGGGCAACAACAACAGCCTAACCGCAGCAGCCAACAAGATCAAAATAAAGTAGTGGTTAATCAGAATTTAAATTTTGATTCTCCAGAAACTAACAATGATTGCCGTAGTATTAAAAAAGACCACCAACCTCAGAATCAATCGACAAATGGTATTAACAATCGTAATCGAATTAATCAATTTAGTGACGTTCAAAAAAGATTAATGGTTTATAGTCATTCTCAGCAGCATAATTCTGAGAGTGCAATAATGAAAAATCAGTACCATGGTATGGGAAGCTTAAGAAATAATGACTCTGGCGAACCAAAGTTTAATAAGGGTGGCCAAAATCAACTGAATTGCAATAGGACACAAGATCGTGAAAATGATAATGAAGGACAAAAAAGTCAACGTCAACATAAAAGTATGAGTGTGCAAGAATATCTTCAATCAAGACGTGGCTATGGTAGTAACCAACAACAAAGTTACGGAAGTCAAGTAGACAAATGCGATGATCACCAGCTCCGTAATTCCGTTGGGCAACAAATACAGCCTAACCACAGCAGCCTACAAGATCAAAATAAAATAGTGGTTGATCAGAATTTAAATTTTGATTCTCCAGAAACTAACAATGATTGCCGTAGTATTAAAAAAGACCACCAACCTCAGAATCAATCGACAAATGGTATGAACAATCGCAAACGAATTAATCAATTTAGTGACGTTCAAAACGGATTAATGGTTTGTAGTCATTCTCAGCAGCATAATTCTGAGAGTGCAACACTGAAAAATCAGTACCATGGTATGGGAAGCTTAAGAAATAATGACTCTGGCGAACCAAAGTTTAATAAGGGTGACCAAAATCAACTGAATTGCGGTGGGACACGAGATCGTGAAAATGATAATAAAGGACAAGAAAGTCAACGTCAACATAAAGGTATGGGTGTACAAGAATCTCTTCAATCAAGACATGGCTATGATAGCAATCAACAACAAAATTACGGAAGTCAAGTAGACAAATGCGATGATCACCAGCTCCGTAATTCCGTTGGGCAACAAATACAGCCTAACCACAGCAGCTTACAAGATCAAAATAAAGTAGTGGTTGATCAGAATTTAAATTTTGATTCTCCAGAAACTAACAATGATTGCCGTAGTATTAAAAAAGACCACCAACCTCAGAATCAATCGACAAATGGTATTAACAATCGCAATCGAATTAATCAATTTAGTGACGTTCAAAACGGATTAATGGTTTGTAGTCATTCTCAGCAGCATAATTCTGAGAGTGCAACACTGAAAAATCAGTACCATGGTATGGGAAGCTTAAGAAATAATGACTCTGGCGAACCAAAGTTTAATAAGGGTGACCAAAATCAACTGAATTGCGGTGGGACACGAGATCGTGAAAATGATAATAAAGGACAAAAAAGTCAACGTCAACATAAAGGTATGGGTGTACAAGAATCTCTTCAATCAAGACATGGCTATGATAGCAATCAACAACAAAATTACGGAAGTCAAGTAGACAAATGCGATGATCACCAGCTCCGTAATTCCGTTGGGCAACAAATACAGCCTAACCACAGCAGCTTACAAGATCAAAATAAAGTAGTGGTTGATCAGAATTTAAATTTTGATTCTCCAGAAACTAACAATGATTGCCGTAGTATTAAAAAAGACCACCAACCTCAGAATCAATCGACAAATGGTATTAACAATCGCAATCGAATTAATCAATTTAGTGACGTTCAAAATGGAGTAATGGTTTGTAGTCATTCTCAGCAGCATAATTCTGAGAGTGCAATAATGAAAAATCAGTACCATGGTATGGGAAGCTTAAGAAATAATGACTCTGGCGAATCACAGTTTAATGAGGGTGGCCAAAATGAGCTGAATTGTAATAGGACACGAGATCGTGAAAATGATAATAAAGGACAAAAAAGTCAACGTCAACATAAAAGTATGAGTGCGCAAGAATATCTTCAATCAAGACGTGGATATGATAGTAATCAACAACAAAGTTACGGAAGTCAACTCGATAAATGCGATGATCAGCAGCACCGTAATTCCGTTGGGCAACAACAACAGCCTAACCACAGCAGCCTAGAAGATCAAAATAAAGTAGTGGCTGATCAGAAGTTCAATTTTGATTCTCCAGAAACTAATAATGATTGCCGCAGTATCAATGAAGACCATCAGCGTCAGCATCAATTTGATAAGTCGCAATCAAGTTTACCATACTGATCAACAAAATAATGACAAAGAACAACAATCAACAGTATCAGTATCAATCAAATAATCATGAACATCAATACGAAAATGTTAAGGAAGCTGTTAATGGGCCCGTTTTTGATCCAGTATATTGAAAACAAAGAAAAAAATTTTCACAAATTTTGTGGTATATATTAGAAATAGTGATTTGTATTCCCGATACCAACCACGACACAATTATAAATATGCAAAGGTTTTTGGGAGAAATGGATAAAGGTGATCAATCTTATAAACTGATGTAAGAACACATTTAATTTTTTTTATGGTTTAATCTTAGCATTATGTTATTTCAGTATAAACGAATACTGTATCACCCTGTTTGAAGGAGTGTGGTATCGACGTAAAGTAATTGGTGTGAATGAAACAAGCTTCAATATTAAATGCATTGACTTTAGTCATGAGTATTTGGTAAGAGGAGAATATATTCGTCGATATCCCAATCAACTTTCTGAAGAAAACTTAATAAAAATTTTCAAACTTGCAGGTGAATATTGCACATATTAAACTATTATATTAAGAAGTAATCAATTTTCCTTTATAGATTCATCCAATATACTAAGCTAAAAACTGGTAAAACACTTGAAGAATAGATTAGTCGGTTTCCAAAGATTATTTATAATAGCAGTTAAAGTGTGCAATGATATATACGAAATCGAGTGCCCAATTTTCTGAAAACAACTTTCCGAACTGGGTTTAATTGAAATTATTTGCTGATACTCTTATATGTAGTAATCCGATTTATTATATTTATAATCAACATTTAGTAAATAATATGTTGTGTTAAACATTTATATTAATTTACTAGATTTTCCTGTATTCTCAATTACTTATAATTAAAATCAAATGAAGAGTAATCTCTTAATAAATATAAAGGTATTGTTATTTATAATTCCCAAACTCTTTTTTGCTTGGAATATTATTTAAACGTGTATAAGTTGTTTGGACAAAATTGTGAAAAGGTTTCAATGGACTGTCTATTAATTTCAACATATTTTGATCTAACAATTTTGTAAGTATTATTTACAGTGACCGAAAAGAATAGTTATTTCAGAAATGTTTAAGGAAAATAGCCGTTATATATAGGACCGTTTTAAAATAAAACTATTCATCAAAAATTATTATTTTCATATGCCTTTTATTTTTTCACGCAGAAAAAACTCTTACATTCTCCTGGCACCTGGTTACGACCTCATAACAGCTGGAATTCTTAAAAATGCTTTGCTTTAATATTTATTACCTGTTTTTGAAACGAATCCTTGACAAAAAGTTGTATTCCATCATTTTGTAAAGTTGCTGGAATAAAGTCGATATTATTCCGTATCACCAGTTTATATTCAGAAGAAAATATTCGATGATTGATTAAATTTATATGGAGAATACTGCTCAGCAGCTTTTTTTGGATATATCTCCAGCATTTGGACATATACAGCACTAGGGACTGATATTCAAATCAAGAAACTTTTGCCTCTAAATCACTATATTTTCATAAAGTCGTGTCTGTTGAATGAAATGTCTGTATTATATGTCATTGAAGCTGGAGTCCCGTAAGGCAGCATATTCGGTTTAATCCTTTATCTACTTTTCACACATAACCTTTTGAGGACAGTAGAGCATCGCAAAATACTTGAGTCACGCATTTTTAACAGCAGAAAATACTTTGGGTTTCAATTTCATAGCATGTTTTGACTACAGAACAAAAGATGTACAGTATCCTTAAAAATAAGATTATTTTTTATACAAAAGTGTGCTGAAGTAAGTTCTACCTATGAGACACAGCCTCAAATTCCAACATCGGTATGTAACTGATATCAAAATCCATGATGACCCCAGAATACCGTCGGTAAAAGTTGAAAAAAATGTAACCAGAAAATATCACGAACAAATACAGATTCATCTTAATAATTTTGTATCCAACATGATGCCACCCTCAAAAATATTTACAAGGTTAAAAAAAATGTCGTTCCAGATTATATGATAAAATCTTGTTTTAAGAAAAAAAGTAGTTTTCCACAGAAAAATTAATTGTACCTGAATCGTAAATTGTTATGTTTGGAATATTTGATATTAAAAATATTGTAAAATATCGCTACATTATTTTGACAAAAAATATATTAAAAAAAGTAAAAGAAAATTAAGCACAACAACGAAAACTACGATTGTGTGAGTTTAATCATTTTATTAGTCGTAATTTATTCTTTCAGAGTAGCAAAAAAATACTCTCAACTTACGAAAGAAAACATGTGATGCCACATCAATGCTCTTAAAATCATCAGAGTTAGAATTTACTTAACCTTCAGTGCAGTCAAATTCAAAAATCAGTCTATTTAGGATGTTCACTGGAAATATGTTGCAAAATTCCAGTCATCCATTAAAATCATTTGAGCACACCATTTACTGATAAATTCAAATATATGAATTAATAAATTTATTTAAATATATAAGATAAAAATGCTAACCATTGCCCTTCTTATATTCTTATATTAATTTAAATTAATTAATTTTTAGTATTTACCATTTTTATATTTCATATTGTACACAACACAACAAAAAAAATTATATCAAAAAAAAAAAACATTTAACATATATTAAAAATGATGCCAATTTGTTTCAACCAGACTTATTGTTGTTTTTTCACAACTCTGAAAGAAAAAATTAAGGCTATTATTGCATAGTATTGTAAGAGAATGTAACGTAATATCCTTGCACAAAATCTTCTGCAATACCAAAGAGTAGAGTAGACAAACAAGTAAAAATGATGAGTTATGGTCTTCTCTATTAATGGACTCAACGGCGGAGACAGTTATATCCGTGCTTACTTTGCGAGTTTCTCACAGTAGGTTGAAGTCGAAAAGCTTCTCAATAATTTTTTGAATAGTCAACTCAGTTAGTCGATTAGGTTGATTGTACAACTTCTACAATTTGCTATAATAACTTGTAACGATTCTTACATTACCATATAACTTATTAATATGAATAACGTATTATTTTGATCTATCAAGTTGATAATAATATACATTTTGAGCCACACAAAAAAAAAGACCAACAAAAAACATATGTATTTTACTATGTATGTGAACGTATGATTCAGTTGTTTTAACCACGGTTGCCACTTATGGTACTTTAGTACCAAAATTGGTACTTTTTTTTCCGTTTGGTACACTGGTACTCATGTTCAAAAAATGGTACATTTTCTGCGACCCAACTTTATTGTGGATATTGTATTGTTTTATACTTTTTGTACATTTTATATAAATTGTATTTTCTTATAAAAAGACAATAGAAAAATTTTGGACCTTTTTTTACAGAAATGGTACCTTTTTAAACCAATTTTGGTACAGAAAAAAATTTTCAAGTGGCAACCGTGGTTTTAACAGTTTGCTGTCTCTCTCTCTCTCTCTCTCTTTTTATTAAATACTTTCAGGAGGCGCAAATTGAGGAGCTTGAATAAAATTACATTAATCAATTTAAAATAAGAACAAGTTTTAAATTTTTGCCTTCCAGCTTCTCTGTTGTCGATTTATTAAACTCTAACTACAAAGTAAGGAGTAAATACACATCTGTAAATTAAACTGCTTTTCCAAATAACATGAGATATATATGTATTGTATATGGAATAATCTAACCAACAGTAGTCCACACAATACTTCATTAATCTTAATGAAATTTATTCTCTTTTGCTTTGCTTTACGTACATTTTCCTTAAAGAAACATTTGCCATTTGAGTGATCACAAAATCACTGCCCTAGTGTCCTAATTGCCGAAGAAGCTATGCACGCCATTCTTATCCATAATAGAATTGCAATTAATAGTACCATAAGTATTTAAACAAGCAGAAATTAAGTACCACAATTATATTCATATATCCCTTACAAAAACGCTCTAAGGTTACCCGAGTAGTATGTGGCAGTGCTTTACTTTTATTTAGTTTTTCTGCTACAAATTGTCTTATTTGTTGCTCTCTTCTGTTTTCAATGGCACTACAACACGTCCGCACTATATTTCAATCAACTATAAATGCAGGATATTCCATACACATCCAAATAGTTATTTTGGCTTAGTTGGGAAAGCTACGTTTTAATTGGTTTAGTTGTGTAAATAAATTTAACATAAAGCCTTTTGGAATTGTATTATAAAGCCCCAATGTAAATATCTTAAAAAGTTTGTTCACTTGATTCAAATTGCAAAGAAATTCAACTCTTATGCACCCTCTTCACGTAAAGATGTTTTCACTTGTGTTCAGGAATAGAGCAACCTACATTGTTAAGAAAATTAATATCGCTCTTGGGTTACAATTCAATTGCACGAAATATGCTTTACTAGCTTAATATGACTTCCAACTAATTCAAAAGCATTCTTTTTCTGCAAGTGTGACGAATACTTGAGAGAATGCTCATACATACTTATAAGTTTAACTGTAATCCAAGATAAGTACACACTTACACCGGCAAGGATTACTTCAATTATTACAACCAATGTAAAATGTGTCTTGTTGGCGGACTTAAAATTGAACGTGCACGTTTTAGTCTGATGTTTCAGAAATTTCCATAAAATTCATTCCTACATAATGGAGTAAACTTTTTTAATTAGAAATGACTTTCATTATGAATATTCTTCAATGGTATTTAGTAAGCATATAAACGTTAGTCAGTACCTTGAATACATATCTACATATATACATAGCACTGGTTTTTCGATATAATCAAAAAGAGTTCTGGAGAATGCTATGTTCAAATTGTATAATCCTTAACCGAGACATTAATATTGTTATTGAATTAATAACACCCATTCTATACTTCTTCATTCCAGTACGTTCCTAGGGGAACATTGGGCCATGTGGTTACAGAATCCATAAATTTTTATCTTGATTTCCTGCCGTGAAGACTTAACACCACGGTGTTCAAAAACACACGTATTGATACAAAGCGCCAATCAACGCCCCATTGGCATCGCATTGGTGATTCCGCCGGTACCAATGAAGATATTTATGTAAGCCATATCTTCCACCTTGGTGAAATGCGAGACCCATTTTAAACCTCTGCTACAATTTGGGCTGTTGCACCCGGTAGTAAATACGCAATTCCACGCCGAATGGGAACTAAAACTGAACATTCTTCCCTAGCAAGTTTGGGTATTAACCATTAGCCACTACGAAGCCAACACCAATGTTCAGAATAGCCAAAGCTGTGTGCCACTGTCTCCCGTAGTACCAGATCGGATCATCTCTGGTCAGATGTCGCAAGTGCCGTGCTCACTCACTACCATTTGCACTTCTTACATAAGTGCCAAACTGGCACTGGGGGATTTTAGTCGCCTCTTACGGCTGGCAATCCTAACCGCGGAAGAATTTTTTCCCAATTTCCGCAGGGACCATGTGGTTACAGTTGTACCTAACGAATTGCTTCTGTTTGAACATCAGGTTCGCACTTCCAAATCCATTGTGCACGTATCAGTACGGGTACCACTTAGAGACTGTAATACCACCTGGTTTTGACTCATGTTTTATATCCAGCAAAAAGTTAAAGAAAGCAAGCGCAATGTTAGTCCTGTAAGTTTTGCACGTAGTGACAGGTCACTTTTATATAGGCCTCAACTAACCTGGAGAACAGACGTCTTTTGCAGCCGCTTACTATGAGTACCGACGCTACGTTGTGGACTGTGCTTAGCTTCATTACTCCTTATTCGACCAGTAACAAGCTACCGTCAGCATCACTCGAAGGTTCTTCGTAACTACTGAGCCTCCTGACCCCATCAAGGTGGCAATCCCCGAGGAGTAACACCCATTCTATAGTAAAACAATATGTGTTTCCTTAACAAAACAAAAAGCAATATATGAAGACTGTGTTTCTGGACAATTTTTGAAAATATCACGCTTATTATATCAGTCTGTACTATTTCACTATGGATGGATCTTTACCGGTTAGTAATAGAAGGTGCCTTTTAAGCCTTGCGCCTAAAAATGAATACATAGTGGTTAATCAGTGAAAATGGTTTCATTTCATGGAAAATCCAATGGGAACAAATCCTTCTGACAGCTAAATGTATATGTAAAATTGAATGCATGCTGATCCCACTACTACCTAAGAACGCCTCTATGTCCTGGTATGTAACATGTCGATCCACCTCAATAATTTCTCGCACTGTATCAATGTTTTCTGGCACAGCATCAGTTCTTGCACGACTATTACGAAATTCGTCGTGGAGAAAATGATGACCACGCTCGACCTCATTACACCAGCGTTTTACAGTTGCTAGATGTGGTGTTGCATCAATGAAAATGTCGAACTAAATTAATCGATGTGTTCTTTTCCGATTAATTCGCGGCAAAAATTGTTTCAAAATCATAGTATGAAAATGTTAATTATTAAATTAAATTACTAAATTAAATTATTAAATTAAGTACATGCTGGTCGCAGAACAAAGTTTTTTGTTTCAAATAAGAACATCTTACTGAATTTCCATTATTTGAAATTATCCAATATCAGAAAACTACTTTTAGCTTTAGAGAGTCTAAAACTCTCGATGAAGTCTGACCTGCTCTCGATGACGGTCTAATCGATAAAAAGAAAGGCCTTCAAATTTCAGTTCAACTTGAAAATGTGTTAGACAGAGAAGATTTCTTTTCTCTTAGAAATTTTGTATTAGAACCGAAAACTGCTTATCAAAAACAAATGTAATAGAAGTAGGTCTTCTATCAACTGTCTTCAATATCTGTCTAGATATTTGCACATAATCTGTACATACCAGTGTGATATAGGTATACATTCTATATTCAAATAAACATGCTGACATATAGACTTTTCAGTATAATAAATTGTCTTAATTTCTATATAAAACAAAAAATGGAAAAGACTATAGCTTCTGGGAGACACGAACTCAAACTATTCTTTTAACATGCAAGGATAATATTTAATATATATAAAAAAGTACATAATGAACATATAAAAGCAATAATGCAACATACAGGGCGATCAAATCAGCATTTTTTGAACTTTATAATCTTAAGAATAAGCGAAGGACTGCTACTTATTTCATATTAAATAACTTTGTAAATGAATATCGATTAAAACCAACCATTATTGAAACACGATTGCTTTCAATAGCCGAAAAGCTATCCTCTTGGGAGAGTAAAATTTCTCAACAACGGATCTAAAACTTATTGGTTTTTGTGCAAAATACTCTTTTCGTGATCTGTTTCCATACGCTTTAAAAACACTTCTAATTTGTTTTATTTTATTTACAAGTTTTAAACAAATTGTTTAAAATTTTATTGTAATTTGTAATATTCAGGCCTTTGCCGAGACCGGTTACATGCCAGTTTCGAGAAACTTTATCTATGGTAACAATCGTGGTATACTATTTAGGTCCGATTATTTAAAATGATACCAAGTGACCATTTTCACACATTTGATTTCTATAAAACATTTTCAACAGAAAATCACAAAGTTCTCAACATAAATATGTTGTATTACTGCCTATATCTTAGTAGCACTCAATAATAATGTAACAATATCAACACTTTACTCGTATTTGCTTTGCAATAGCCTTTAAGAGAAAGCACCTACCTTAATAAAACTTTCAGAAGTAATAGAGATAGGTCACAAGTTCCTGGCAGCGAATACATAATCTAACTAACTACTACTAACAGGCAACTAACTAGATACTAATGCTACTAATGATCAATCATCCAAGTTGTTGCCCAACTTTCACCTGCCACTCCTGGAAAGGTTCTTCGAACCACATAGTGAGTCCTTTACGTAGTGATTCCCTTACATTTATGTGCAGGTTGTTCTTGTGATTGATCAAATGAAATCAGCAGTGTAGGAAATAAGTGAGTCAACATCTAAAATTGATCTCAAAGTGTAAGAACCTCACAAACGAAATAAAATCTACGACTTGAAGATATGCGCTTGGAATGTCAGGTCGCTCTACAGATAAGGTGGGTCTATCCATCTGCAAGAAAGCCGCAATAACTGTAAGATTAATGACAACTGCATGCAGTATATGTGACGGACAGGTCAGGGCAACTTTAAGGCAGTACACTGTTCGCTCGCATTCGTCGACTAAAGAAAAACTTGGTATGATCAAAGATGTCTCTTATACAAGACTCGAGAATTGTGTAAAAGCTTTAACACTAGATTTAACTACCACTGGATTCGCTGATTTGACTAAGTCGTAAGGATAGATAAAGATGCTTTAACGAAAAACGATGCTTTAACAAAATTTGGCAGTCGGAAAAAGAGACGTAGGGGAGGACGGTTTGGTCTTTGTGTGATCAAAACGAAGAAGTATTAACAGCTCCTGATCTACTAATTCTGAATAAGCGTGAACGCTTCAGTGGAACCTAAAGAGAGGCATTGCATCAATCTGATACCTGATAACAGGGCATAATGGTAACTTAAAGGGAAAAAAATTAGATAGAAGTCTACATATAAGCAAAATTACAAGCAGTTTATAGATGATTCTTCTTCCACACTCAGCTTCATCACGTATTCTAATTAATTCATTAAATGAATCACTAATAATTAGACAAAATATTTGTTATCAAAAAAAAAAAAAACAAAATTTTTGATGAGTTTTTAATAAGTCGATTAAAAAAGTCAAAATGAATAAGCAAGAAATGTCTTCGTGTCATGCCATGGATTTTATACAATTAGTACTAGGTTTGTACTAACTTAATGCGGGAAATATACAGTTTAGTAAAAAAATGATCAAGTATTTCTTAACGTCCAGCACACAAATATCGTTTGTTGCAAAGGCGATCAACACGAATTAAATGAACTGATTTGAACAGATTTAGTTCAAATAAATCTTTTATTATATGATGTGAGCAGTCCATACTTATCATGACTGTACCGACCAGCCCATGATTGTAATTTGAGTAATACATTGACCTATAAAATATCTAGAACTAATGGCAAACAATCTAGGGAGTACGAATAAAGGCTCCAAATTTTTGACACTTCTTCAAAGCTAAAGAAATAAGAACTGAATACTACAATTTGTATTAGTTTGACTAAGAACTTCTTAAAGCATACTTAAACTAACACTTACAAGGTATTTAAAGATACATAAATAATACTTACAGAATTGTTAGATCAAAATATGTTGAAATTAATAGACAGTCCATTGAAACCTTTTCACAATTTTGTCCAAACAACTTATACACGTTTAAATAATATTCCAAGCAAAAAAGAGTTTGGGAATTATAAATAACGATACCTTTATATTTATTAAGAGATTACTCTTCATTTGATTTTAATTATAAGTAATTGAGAATACAAGAAAATCTAGTAAATTAATATAAATGTTTAACACAACATATTATTTACTAAATGTTGATTATAAATATAATAAATCGGATTACTATATATAAGAGTATCAGCAAATAATTTAAATTAAACCCAGTTCGGAAAGTTGTTTTAAGAAAATTGGGCACTCGATTTCGTATATATTATTCCGCACTTTAACTGCTATTATAAATAATCTTTGGAAACCGACTAATCTATTCTTCAAGTGTTTTACCAGTTTTTGGCTTAGCATTTTGGATGAATCTATAAAGTAAAATTGACTACTTATTAATACCATATAATAGTTTAATATGTGCAATATTCACCTGCAAGTTTGGAAATTTTTGTTAAGTTTTCTTCAGAAAGTTGATTGGGATATCGACGAATATATTCTCCTCTTACCAAATACTCATTACTAAAGTCAATGCATTTAAAATTGAAGCTTGTTTCATTCACACCAATTACTTTACGTCGATAACACACTCCTTCAAACAGGGCGATACAGTATTCGTTTATACTGAAATAATATAATGCTAAGATTAAACCATAAAAAAAATTAAATGTGTTCTTACATTAGTTTATAAGATTCATCACCTTTATCCATTTCTTCCAAAAACCTTTGCACATTTATAATTGTGTCGTGGTTGGTAACGGAAATACAAATCACTATTTCTAATATATACCACAATATTTGTGAAAATTTTTTTCTTTGTTTTCAATATACTGGATAAAAAACGGGCCCATTAACAGCTTCCTTAACATTTTCGTATTGATGTTCATGATTATTTGATTCATACTGATACTGTTGATTGTTGTTCTTTGTCATTATTCTGTTGATCAGTCTGGTAAACTTGATTGCGACTTATCGAATTGATGCTGACGCTGATGGTCTTCATTGATACTGCGGCAATCATTATTAGTTTCTGGAGAATCAAAATTTAAATTCTGATCAGCCACTACTTTATTTTGATCTTCTAGGCTGCTGTGGTTAGGCTGTTGTTGTTGCCCAACGGAATTACGGTGCAGCTGACAATCGCATTTATCTAGTTGACTATCGTAACTTTGTTGTTGGTTACTACCATAGCCACGTCTTGATTGAAGATATTCTTGTATACCTATGCCTTTATATTGACGTTGACTTTCTTGTCCTTTATTATCATTTTGACGATCTCGTGTCCTATTACAATTCAGCTCATTTTGGCCACCCTTATTAAACTTTGGTTCGCCAGAGTCATTATTTCGTAAGCTTCCCATACCATGGTACTGATTTTTCATTATTGCACTCTCAGAATTATGCTGCTGAGAATGACTATAAACCATTAATCTTTTTTGAACGTCACTAAATTGATTAATTCGATTACGATTGTTAATACCATTTGTCGATTGATTCTGAGGTTGGTGGTCTTTTTTAATACTACGGCAATCATTGTTGGTTTCTGAAGAATCAAGATTCAAATTCTGATCAACCACTAGTTTAATTTGATCTTGTAGGCTGCTGTGGTTAGGCTGTTGTTGTTGACCAACGGAATTACGGTGCTGCTGATCATCGAATTTTTCTAGTTGACTTCCGTAACTTTGCTTTTGGTTACTATCATAGCCATGTCTTGATTGAAGAGATTCTTGTACACCCATACTTTCATATTGACGTTGACTTTCTTGTCCTTTATTATCATTTTCACGATATCGTGTCCCACCGCAATTCATCTGATTTTGGTCACCCTTATTAAAGTTTGGTTCGTCAGAGTCATTATTTCTTAAGCTTCCCATACCATGGTACTGATTTTTCATTATTGCACTCTCAGAATTATGCTGCTGAGAATGACTACAAACCATTAATCCATTTTGAACGTCACTAAATTGATTAATTCGATTACGATTGTTAATACCATTTGTCGATTGATTCTGACGTTGGTGGTCTTCATTGACACTGCGGCAATCATAAGTAGTTTCTGGAGAATCAAAATTCAAATTCTGATTAACCACTACTTTATTTTGATCTTGTTGGCTGCTGCGGTTAGGCTGTTGTTGTTGCCCAACGGAATAACGGTGCTGCTGATCATCGCATTTGTCCAGTTGACTTCCGTAACTTTGTTGTTGATTACTATCATAGCCACCTCTTGATTGAAAATATTCTTGCACACTCATACCTGTATGTTGACGTTGACTTTTTTGTCCTTCATTATCATTTTCACGATATCGTATTCCATCGCAATTCAGTTGATTTTGGTCACCCTCATTAAACTTTGGTTCACCAGATTCATTATTTCTTAAGCTTCCCATACCATGGTACTGATTTTTCATTATTGCACTCTCAGAATTATGCTGCTGAGAATGACTATAAACCATTAATCTTTTCTGAACGTCACTAAATTGATTAATTCGATTACGATTGTTCATACCATTTGTCGATTGATTCTGACGTTGGTGGTCTTTTTTAATACTACGGCAATCATTGTTGGTTTCTGAAGAATCAAGATTCAAATTCTGATCAACCACTAGTTTAATTTGATCTTGTAGGCTGCTGTGGTTAGGCTGTTGTTGTTGACCAACGGAATTACGGTGCTGCTGATCATCGAATTTTTCTAGTTGACTTCCGTAACTTTGCTTTTGGTTACTATCATAGCCATGTCTTGATTGAAGAGATTCTTGTACACCCATACCTTCATATTGACGTTGACTTTCTTGTCCTTTATTATCATTTTCACGATATCGTGTCCCACCGCAATTCTTCTGATTTTGGTCACCCTTATTAAAGTTTGGTTCGCCAGAGTCATTATTTCTTAAGCTTCCCATACCATGGTACTGATTTTTCATTATTGCACTCTCAGAATTATGCTGCTGAGAATGACTATAAACCATTAATCTTTTCTGAACGTCACTAAATTGATTAATTCGATTACGATTGTTCATACCATTTGTCGATTGATTCTGACGTTGGTGGTCTTTTTTAATACTACGGCAATCATTGTTGGTTTCTGAAGAATCAAGATTCAAATTCTGATCAACCACTAGTTTAATTTGATCTTGTAGGCTGCTGTAGTTAGGCTGTTGTTGTTGCCCAACGGAATTACGGTGCTGCTGATCATCGAATTTTTCTAGTTGACTTCCGTAACTTTGCTTTTGGTTACTATCATAGCCATGTCTTGATTGAAGAGATTCTTGTACACCCATACCTTCATATTGACGTTGACTTTCTTGTCCTTTATTATCATTTTCACGATATCGTGTCCCACCGCAATTCATCTGATTTTGGTCACCCTTATTAAACTTTGGTTCGCCAGAGTCATTATTTCGTAAGCTTCCCATACCATGGTACTGATTTTTCATTATTCCACTCTCAGAATTATGCTGCTGAGAATGACTATAAACCATTAATCTTTTCTGAACGTCACTAAATTGATTAATTCGATTACGATTGTTCATACCATTTGTCGATTGATTCTGACGTTGGTGGTCTTTGTTAATACTTCGGCAATCATTGTTAGTTTCTGAAGAATCAAAATTCAAATTCTGATCAACTACTACTTTATTTGGATCTTGTAGGCTGCTGTGGTTAGGCTGTTTTTGTTGACCAACGGAATAACGGTGCTGCTGATCATCGCATTTGTCCAGTTGACTTCCGTAACTTTGTTGTTGATTACTATCATAGCCACCTCTTGATTGAAGATATTCTTGCACACTCATACTTGTATGTTGACGTTGACTTTTTTGTCCTTCATTATCATTTTCACGATATCGTATTCCATCGCAATTCAATTGATTTTGGTCACCCTCATTAAACTTTGGTTCACCAGATTCATTATTTCGTAAGCTTCCCATACCATGGCACTGATTTTTCATTATTGCACTCTCAGAATTATGCTGCTGAGAATGACTATAAACCATTAATCTTTTTTGAACGTCACTAAATTGATTAATTCGATTGCGATTGTTAATACCATTTGTCGATTGATTCTGACGCTGATGGTCTTCATTGATACTACGGCAATCGTTGTTAGTTTCTGAAGAATCAAGATTCAAATTCTGATCAATCACTACTTTATTTTGATCTTGTAGGCTGCTGTAGTTAGGCTGTTGTTGTTGACCAACGGAATTACGGTGCTGCTGATCATCGAATTTTTCTAGTTGACTTCCGTAACTTTGCTTTTGGTTACTATCATAGCCATGTCTTGATTGAAGAGATTCTTGTACACCCATACCTTCATATTGACGTTGACTTTCTTGTCCTTTATTATCATTTTCACGATATCGTGTCCCACCGCAATTCATCTGATTTTGGTCACCCTTATTAAACTTTGGTTCGCCAGAGTCATTATTTCGTAAGCTTCCCATACCATGGTACTGATTTTTCATTATTCCACTCTCAGAATTATGCTGCTGAGAATGACTATAAACCATTAATCTTTTCTGAACGTCACTAAATTGATTAATTCGATTACGATTGTTCATACCATTTGTCGATTGATTCTGACGTTGGTGGTCTTTGTTAATACTTCGGCAATCATTGTTAGTTTCTGAAGAATCAAAATTCAAATTCTGATCAACTACTACTTTATTTGGATCTTGTAGGCTGCTGTGGTTAGGCTGTTTTTGTTGACCAACGGAATAACGGTGCTGCTGATCATCGCATTTGTCCAGTTGACTTCCGTAACTTTGTTGTTGATTACTATCATAGCCACCTCTTGATTGAAGATATTCTTGCACACTCATACTTGTATGTTGACGTTGACTTTCTTGTCCTTTATTATCATTTTCACGATCTCGTATCCCATCACAATTCAGTTGATTTTGGTCAGCCTTATTAAACTTTGGTTCGCCAGAGTCATTATTTCTTAAGCTTCCCATACCATGGTACTGATTTTTCATTATTGCACTCTCAGAATTATGCTGCTGAGAATGACTACAAACCATTAATCTTTTTTGAACGTCACTAAATTGATTAATTCGATTACGATTGTTCATACCATTTGTCGATTGATTCTGAGGTTGGTGGTCTTTTTTAATACTACGGCAATCATTGTTAGTTTCTGGAGAATCAAAATTTAAATTCTGATCAACCACTATTTTATTTTGATCTTGTAGGCTGCTGTAGTTAGGCTGTATTTGTTGACCAACGGAATTACGGAGCTGCTGATCATCGCATTTGTCTACTTGACTTCCGTAATTTTGTTGTTGATTACTATCATAGCCACGCCTTGATTGAAGATATTCTTGCACACTCGTACTTGTATGTTGACGTTGACTTTTTTGTCCTTCATTATCATTTTCACGATATCGTATCCCATCACAATTCAGTTGATTTTGTCCACCCTCATTAAACTTTGGTTCGCCAGAGTCATTATTTCTTATGCTTCCCATACCATGGTACTGATTTTTTATTATTGCACTCTCAGAATTATGCTGCTGAGAATGACTACCAACGATTAATCCTTTCTGCGTATCTCCACATGTGTATTGTAGAACTGTATTAGTGGAATGACTAGGACGTTGTGGTACATTATTGTTAGTATAATATTGTTGACTCTGACAATACTTAGTGTTACTGTCGACAGGTTTTGGGTTCTCATGTTCACGTTGTTGAAAATTGCTAAAGGATCCTAAATCAGAATAGTTATCAGATGCTTGGTGATCACTGTTTTGTTGTGCTTTGGTATCATCTTTATTCACCCTGATTTGTTTAAGTTCAAAATAATTAGCTACTAATTTTTCACCCTGTTCATCATTTGAACTTTTTTGTAACTTTTTATTTTCTACATTTGGCACTAGATTACTATAAATATTCTGCATGTTATACAATTATTTAGTTAAAAGTTTTACATACTTACGGAATTCTCTCACATATATCGCGATGGCTGTCCCAATCTTGCCTTTGGCACACCTTAGAGCAATAAAAATCATGGCAATTCTCACACACATAATTGGCATTTTCACCGCATTTAACACATGAAGTCAAAACGGTTCTATTATTATCAGTGGACATATATAGATGCGTTCACTTCCACAGTAGCGTTACCTTTTAATAACTTTCGATCGTTATTTTTTGAGAAATATTAACTTTTTGTTCTTAGTTTTGCGCACTAATCCAAATAGTTGCTTTCTGAAAAACGAGCGGTAAAAACTGCGAACGTGCTTCGCTTTTGACACTTGATTTTATAATAACGGAACTTAAACAGAGTTGTTATTATAGAATGAAGAAACTTCAAGCGCGTATCGCATCAGATTTGGTCGTACAACTTGTCTGTTGAAATGCGAAATTGTGCCAAATCTTATGTGTCGACAAAATATATAAGCAATATTTGCAGTGTTGACCACAAGTTGGATGGAAATTAAGATATTTTGATTTCTTATCAAAATTACTTATGTTTTTTCGTACAGAATCGGATTTTTGTCGACTTATCGCAATATCGTTAGCAGACGATATAATTAAAAAACGCCAAAGGGAACATTCCTATGCACTTATGAATGAATTACGTCGAATTTTATATATAATATAATAATATATATTGTAGTTATCATTTTCTTTGTTAAAACCATAAGTTTAAAAATCATTAAGAAGATGTAAAATTATTTATATTGGGCTAACAAAATAACAATGAATCTTTTATTTTAAAGATTGTTTCTATAGTCTTTATAGGGAAAATTTTTTAATTATTAAAACACGTCTTTAAGTAGATTTAAAATATTAAATTAAATGTAATATATAAAAACATATATAAACATATATTATATTTATGCTATAGGCGTATTTAAAAAAATGTCGAATGTATTAATGTGTAATAGCAAGCGACGTCAGTCAAGTTGTCCGCCCAAATCTGATGTGTGATACGCGCCAAATACATATTATTTATTGTCTAATTTGAAATTATTGGAGTCCATTATTCAGATTTTTCGGTTAGTTTGTATTCCATTCGAAATAAAGTAATATTGAATTGGGTATTTTCAAAGAATACTTTTTGAAAAAGCAGAAATTCTGCCCACTTCGAACTTAACGAAGAGAAATTGCTAACTTAATTTTATTACTTATAAAATTGTAGGGCACGTATCGAATACATGGGATCTTACCGCAATATCTTGAAATTACTCTCTTTTGAGGTCGTAGTATAATAATTTGTCACTACTTTCTAATCATATGCTTACCTATTGATTAAAAATATTTCAGCACGTAAAAGTATATTTTGAGACCAATAATGTATGTTTAATACATACATAAATTATTATACAAAAATTTATATGAATTAACTGAGGACTATTTTTACAAAAATTATTAGTTTTGTGTGCTTTAACATATAATCAGATAAATGAAGATGATCCAAAATATATTCTTTTATATTTAATAAATTTTTAATTAATAATACTAAATTAATAATAACAGTAAATAATAATAGTAAATTTTTAAAATATTTTATATTTGCACAATCATGGCAAATCTTATGCCGATATTAGAGAAATCATGGATAGAAGCCGCTACATCGTTAAGAGAATTGTACAGCCTTCCAAAAGAGCGACATCATTGGAAAATACAAAGCACACAGACCGACCTAAAGCTTTAGGCGACCGTGAACGCTGTAAAATAATACAAAAAGAAAAGGTAAACCCAAAAATATCTTCCACCCAGATTGAAGTTAAGGGAGAGTTTGACAGGAATCATCATCATCATTACATGAAACCAGTTGCAGTTGGCGTGTTCCTAGACGAAAACCGTTCATTTTGCAGATCAACCACTAGAAGCATTTAGTCTATGCAAACGATTACTCAAGCAAGTTAATCGAATTTTGGAACAATGAAATTATTGATGAAATGAACGATGAACGTCTGTTTGGAGGAAATTAAACACCGAACGGCAAAAAAATAAATAATCCTGCTTTTTCTGTAAAACGTGGTGTTTATATGGGGGTGAATGTCTGCTGCAAGTGTCAACAGATTGGAATTCACTGACGGCATGATGGATAAAAAATATTATATAGCCATCCACAAGGGATATATCAAAGAAAGTGCCAAAATCTTCAGTTTACCAGTCACGTTTAGCTTCTAATATGAGAATGATCTGAAACATGCGTATGGGCTTATGATGTGCGTATGGGACTCGCATATTATGAAAAACACATACTGTCACATATGCTCCGATCTCCAGATCTCAATCTTTCTGAACATTTGTGAGAAGAATTGGATAGACGTCCAAAGAAGTCCGTTATGACAACAATGGCAGAACTGAAGGTTGCAAAATATTGGAATAAAAATCACACAAAAATTGATTTCTTCGACGCCAAAGCAAATAGTAGCTGTTATTAAACAGAATAGCTTGGTCACTCTAAATATCAAAGGTTACCATAAATATTTTTCTTTAATTTTTTCATAAGGTGTGCCAATACATAATCACCTTTTAGCCCAATACATTTAGTCCTGCGTTTTTCTAATTTTCTTATTCCGTCTAAATAATAGGTTTCTCAAAACTCTCAAAATACGCGTAGATGGGGTAGCAGTTCGTATCAAAATTCTTGAATTTGGGATCGTAATGTTTAATCATTTCACGAAATTCACTATTTTTCATTTTCGTAAAAATTTACGAGGTTGTCTGCTTTAAACGGCTATCAAACACCAACTGAACGACGTAGCTTGCTCAAAATTAGAAAGTTGCACACTGGTAGATTACAGCTGACGGCAGCACTGTTGCATTTGGAGTAACTGCGAGGGAAATTCAAAAAGTCACTGATTTATCAAACCGTCCTTGTATATTAATATGGATTGTAATAATAGTTATTACGATTTAAAAAAAGAAAGGCATGTATGGACTATGTCCAGTGACATATCTATATATACTTAAAATAGAATAAAAAGTGTGTGACCTACATATACATATCTAAAACGTCCAGCGGGTTTAGATGCATATAACATATATACGATGAGCGTAATTCTTTGTAATTCGAGATTGTCGGAATTCTTTCTTCCTTGATTGTCGGAATACGTATTTGTTTATGAAGCTGTTCATTCGTCTGGATAATTGCCAGATTTCAGTTTGCTTCAGTACCCCATAATTGGGCTCCATAACTCCATATAAAGAGACATTACCACAAAATTTATTAGAAAATAATATGAATACTTATTTTTATTTTTAATAACATAATTGCAATCATACTTTATGATAACTGGTTATTTCAGTTTGTTTTTTTTATTGGAATTAAGATTTATTGTAACTGTCTCATTCTTTAGATCTTTAAGTATTACAACTTTTGTAAGAGGTATGGAATTTTCCTTAGCCTATTGTATGCATGATTTAAGTGCATTTATTGTCACGGCATTTTCTATTTTAAGTGTAATTACATGGCCTCAGTTTTCGAGTCTATATCGATGTTCAGTTGTTCAGCAAGAACAACCTACTCATCCATTTCTTGTTAATAAATAACATCTGGAACAATATTAGGATTTCATAATATTCTTATGATACACAGAAGTGACAAATAAAATAAAGTTGCATTCTTCGCTGTAGTCAATTTTCAAAGTTGTAATATCAAAGGTAATATAGGGAAAATTCACGAGGTTGCAATAACCGAGGAGTTGCAATATTCGAGAGTTGCATTAATCGAGTTCATACTGTACTTTAATAAGAACTTAAACAACTTCTTCATAGTTTAATTTAAAAAGGTACATCTAACATGTGATGTCTTATTACCCTTCTGGTTTTTTAACTTAATAAAGTAACTACGAGTTGATTTGGACGGATTTCTAATCTATCAAAGTACCTGCAGGTACTGTGAGTCTACTGTACTTAACATAGAAATTTTGATTAATTTGAGGAAAAAGATTTTTATCCGTACTAAGAACTGAAAATTTTACTTTCAAGATTTTATTGACAAAATGCTGTTAGGGAAAATGTGTGGCAGAACTCATAAAAGATTAATGACTTTTCGAACCATGCTTAACCAGGATTTTGTTTTGCGTGGCCACAAGCCAGCACTTCGGTCTTTCGATACAAAACTGCAAAGATACATATCGTTTAATGCAATCTACCACAGAAGTAGAGAAAATATCTCATACGAAATGGGTTTAGTGTTCATTTGATTTAATTTTTGTTAAGTGCTTCCGACATTGCTTAGCATTTGATTTTAGATTTTCGCCCATTGCTTGAAATCATAATTTATTTTCTTAATTTTTAATAAAAAGTTTTGATGTAACTTCAATCTGTCTTATCATTTGGCAATAGGTATTCAAACATTACTTGAACGGCGGCGTCATGGCAGCGCGCCCGGCGAAATTCACACTTCCCTGTGCACAAAGGTGAAATATATTAAATAAGTTCTTGCTTTGATAAAACTTAGTCTCGCAGACTCGCGAACTTACAATTTCTTGGAAATTGTACCAAAAATACTTGTATCTGCAAGTGCATATTTAAATTCAGTAGGAAAGAAATCGAAATAAAAAAATTAAAACATTTCAGCTTCGTTAATATTTTTCTTTCGCAACAGTTCACATTTAAACTTGGAAGTTGTGCGTAGTTTAATTTCTGGAATTTGCACACATTTTTTACCTTAATAACTCAAGCATAAAGAATTCTTGGCTTGCAATAGGTAGGTAAACTATGGTAACTATGGCATGTACTCCATACTTCCATGCTTCCATACTGCCATACTGCTATAATGCTATACTGCTATACTGCTATACTTTCATACTTCCATAGTGTACTTGTAAGTGAACATGTTCATACGTTTAGCACGGGTGCAAATGTATATAAATATCCTCGTACAGGATACTTGGATACTTGTTTATAGGGGTGTATATATGTCAAACATGCACTGGTAGGTCTCTAAGCTTGAATACGGAGCACAGGAATGTGCGCAGCGCAAATGAAATTGAATGCAAAGAAGCGGAAATGTTAAAAAAATGTTTTCGCCTTGTTGGCTGCAGTTGGTTCACTTGCTTTAAATGATGACATTTAACGGAAGGATGACATTTGTCATACTTTTATAAATGCAAGAAAGGTTGATATGTTGGGCTTGCAAAAGCTACCAACTAAATAAATATTATGTGAGAATAAGCAGCAAAAATATTAATATGTGCTTTTGTCTTAGTTAATAAAGAGAAATTGAGTAATTT